ATGTATATATTTGTACTCGCTAAATCCACCTTCTCTCCTGTCGTCTGGATGAGTGCCATGACGTGTCTACCAACTTTACTCAGTTCGTTCTAAGCCAGGAATCATTCCCAGTTCTTCACGTTGCCCTGCGTGTGCTGCCCCTAACGCTTTCAGCAACTACAGATGGCCAGACAGCTAGTTTATCGATGTGTTCTGTTGGTTTCAGCGCACAGTCAAGATTGCTTTCTATTGCACTGGCTGCCAAAGTCTATCGGCGCTATGTCAGAGATCTGTTTATTGTAGTAGGCAGAATGTTAGGCTGAGTAGATGCCAATTTTGTCCACAAAAAAACACCGATAAGACATCGAACCATCGAGGAATTCCGGAAACAACGAAAGCCGACTGATATTCTTGCGCACACGTCATTCACCCAACGTGCTGTTGACTTTTGCTCCTACTGCCTTCACTTTCATCTATTTTATTCATTCCTGCCCTGGGAAGTGTAAAATTATGAAGACTACATTGAAAAGTACAAAAGACTTGTAATAGTACACAAATGGGAAAATCAATAATATGATCAGACCTTCTTTGAGCTGCGTTGGCATAGAATTGCGCCCCAACTGACGCCCCGTCTACTGGATTTATTTTGGTTTTTTCCACCATTTTGCCGAAGCTGCCAAACAACCTTTTTAGACTCTTGGTACACGTGAACTCTAGTTCAGATACGTTAGCACGTCCATTGCCATTCACCTATCAAAGACCTCTAACTATCGAGCATTAGCGTACGCAGTTAGATACGCGCCTGTTTTGAACTTCAATAGTTGGGCCCAGGGATTTCGTCCTCAGTTTTACGGACATTAAAGACGAGGTGGACGTCAGACTTTTCAGTGAACAGGACATGGGAAGTGCACTTAACACAATAGCCGGTTGTTCCACCAGATAGACAAATGACGTAAGAAGCGCAATGCAATATGCAATAGATACAAACTTGATGAGCGTAACTTATTTCCTATGGGGTATAGGCAGATTCGAGATCTCATACAGACCTACCAGATTTTGAGGAACCGGAAGTGCGCTCTGCATTTCGATTATTTCTTTGCCTTGGCTGCGATAACAAACGTGCGTGAAAACTCCCTGAGACTTCGAGGACCCGACCCTACTTAGGTGTTCGTATGTGCTCCTTCTAAGAGCAATTTTTCGGTGCCTGGTATGGACCTTTCAAGGGAGTGATTATGGCGGACACGGCAGAGATATTTAAACGAAGATTAGATGTATGTTTACTCGAAAAACAGCGCTTAACTAGCGAGGACAGCTCTTCTATATTTAACCAACGCCTTGCATACACCTACCGCTAATACTGATGACTGTAATTTCGTATAACATTGTAATCCACAACAAGGGGGCCCGAGTTTCAGTCGTGCGATTTCCAAAGCCATTTTTGTAATATATATGGGTTACGTACATTTTAACAACACGTTTACTTGAATGTGAGCACTGTATGTACCGCTCTCAATAGGGCCCTCAAAGATATTGCCTTTTGTCCTCAAATGTACTAAACCGCACTGAAATAAATACACAGGTAACCCACCGCCCAATTTTGGTTGTCATTCGACTGCCATAAGTCAGTCAACGACCGTGCGGGCTGGGCTATTATACTTACAGGCAGTTCGGCAACGACCTCGCCAAAGGTTGCCGGCCTTTGAAAAACCAGCGCCCCCAACCCAGACGGCTGTCCATGCGCCCGGCCGCTGCTCTCCATTTACAGTCCATTTTACGGGAAACTAATACCACATGCTTGTACCTTATTTGCAAAATCTGTTTCCGGTTTTCTAGCTGGTCATTTGACGTCGGATTTGCGATGTTTGCAGAAGAACTTGGAGGTAACATGACGTATTATTACCTACACTGGATCCGTTCCGTGATTAGGGTGTCGTACAACTCGTCATCATCTTTTCAATTATCGTTCATTTCTTTAAATTCAGAACAGCGCGATGTTAAGTAACTTACCTGTGACGACATTTTTTATCCGCTACGCAGACAGGTCGCCCGATCTAATGCTGATATCAGTTGTGGGTGTGAAGAGATACGACGGACAAGGGGCTCATGATAATATTTACAAACATACGAGGTAAAAGTCGGAGGAAGTTGAAGTACGTCAGTTATCTTTTTTCGCCGTGACCGATTGGCTAGGACCTAAGCCGTAAACGCGTTTCGATTCGGGACAGTTGTCATGGCATAGCCAGCGCAAGGTTCCTCACCTGCCGAGGCCTCTTTTTCATGTGATACCTCCTTTCATAGTTCAGCATTCGCCTGTGTTGTGTGTGGACTATGCTCTCTCATTCTGGCAGTCTGACCCACTTGATCTTTTCGAGACGCTCCGAGACGTTTCTTCGTCTTCTGAGATTCCTTCCGGTGGTCCTTTTCTTACACATGGGACCGGTCCTCGGATGTGGTTAGGCCCGTAGGCGAAATGTCTTTTTTCTCGGGATCTAGTAAGCTACTCAAGCCGTACTTGCACTCGTTCTATTTATCGTTTGAATTCCCAACATCGCTGATTTTCTCTTTTCGAAAGAATAGTGAATAAGTTTCATCAAATTTTACTTCTCAATTCTAGTTCCCCTTATGTCTTTCTCCATTTCCAAAAATTTCTGAAGTCCGAAACATGCCGCACAGGTTTCGTCTTCGTGTTTGACATCCAATAAAGTTATCGAACTTTTTCCCGTTTGGCGGCAGATGATTCGATAGCGCAAAACTCGGCGTAATATTCATTTATATCGTGTGTAATGCCTATTTTGTCATTTTTTTCAAGTGAACTGCTGCGAGTCAGTAGCCTAGTGGTAACGCATCTGTAGCGTCGCTCAAGTGCCCACGATCGATTCCGGCTTCAGTCGGACTTTTTGCATGTCCAGAGGACACCTGGTCGTCTACCATTATTAGATTAATAATCTTTAAACGTTTTAAACGGTATGGGAAAGTTAGTAAACCAGACCCATGCTGTGAAGTAAATAGCTAACGGCTCAACCGCTCTTGGGTTTGGAGAATCTCTCGGTGCTATTGGCTGAGAAGTAGTTTGAGGAGATAGGTTTTTCCAATATCAGCCTTTTCGTATTCCTGTGAGACTCGATTTCTCAATTCTAAGGGGTCGTTAGGGTGCCCAGTGGACAGCTGCCTTGAAAAAGGTAAATCCCTCGGAGGCCGAAAATATTCAAGCCTAATTCGATAGACGCGCGTTAATCTATATCTACAAACTGTGTATCGCAGGTAGTTGTCACTGTCATGTTCAATAGAAATTTACACATCTGTTGGTAAGGTCAGTTGTACTTTTGAAGAACTATTACAGATAACTGTTGGGACCACCAAAGTCAGCGATTTGTCACATGAAGTACACTGGTCTTATATGAAGCTAGCTGGTGTTCAAGTTTCTTAATGACCAGAAAGCCAAGATTTTGAGTGAACCTTCAAAATGTCTTGTACTCACTATCGTAAACACGAGTAGTTCTCGTCCTGATATCTGGATATGCACAATTTTCAACATTATGGTTATTTCACCTATTTACAATCGTTACATTTATAGCAGTGATATTCTCTTTTTCCGCGTACCGGACTTTTAGGAAAGTCATAATCTTTTATAAACACTACCAATTTCTAGTCAAGAAGGAATATCTGAGTTACCTAGTTTTCCTGAACGGCTATCTTGTCAGGACAAATAGAGCTACTTCGTAAAATATTTATAGTGATGAAATTCAGCAAAACTTTTCATTTTCACTCTTAGATATTATTGTCTATTTCTATTGTATGGGCGAGTCTAGCTGCTCCTGAAGGTAAGAACTCGAAAAACAGCTCAATAGAGAATTCTTGCATCCGACACATCCAAAGTTTTCATAAACAAACATATGGTGGCCAACCATTATAACATTTCGGTAGGTCCCAAGACTAAAAGCTGACTTCTCTTCCCTTTCTCACATTTAAAGTGACCGAATTCTTCCTCATATCCCAGTCCTAACCATTGTTAGTCGTCCGTTGTACAACAACCCTCATCCTTCTTGCATTATTGTTTCCCGCTCCTCCTCCTACTCCTATTCCTGCATTTCAAAACGCTCTCTCCTCTTTGCTTACACACATGCCTTTCCTTGGAATAACCCATACGCTATTATGCGATAATAATAATTTTTTATTAAAGACTCGTCGGGGTCCTATCAAAGCAAGTAAAAATAAATTTACATGTGAATTTTAGACGAGGGAGGCAGAATCTATACAAAGTGCAATTCATAGTTTCTGAATTAGAAGTCCGTTGAGAAAAAATGACTAGCGAGAGGTGAAAAA